TGTCTCTCTTTAAATCTTCAGTTTGTGGGCAACCCAGGCAGTTACCTTGCATTTGAAACTGGATAGGGATTGCTAGACATTCTAAATTACAAAATATGTTTAAAATGCTATGTCATTGAGGTCACAGTATAAGGCAAACTGTTCTTTCTTTTTAAGTCTGCCACTAAAAATGGCTATAGAACATTGAGGATTATTCTAAAATAGCAGTATGTAAGAAGTATCTAAAAGTCTTTTGAATCCATGTGTAATGGCAGTGTTGATTAAACCCTTCTAAGAAAATGTAAAAAAAAAAAAAAAGCCAGCTGATGGTCATATCCACACTTGGGGGCTTATTGTCCTCATCGTGTAATCTTCATCATTCAGATTTGGAATGTGTTAGTAGATTTCTAGAAATAACTCTTGCCTGCAACACATGGATGGTGCCAGCCTAGTCCAGGCCGGCAAAATCCTATTAAGATTCTCTGTGCAGTCCTTCCTGGGGGACACATGGTTCACCCACAGTAAATATGGGTCCACAAGAATACTAGTAGGTTCATGGCAGTACTCAGGAGAGACTAGCCTACAGTCAAGATTCCAGGGCCCAGAGGGATCAGAGGGACTGTGGCCAACTGAACAATGCCCAGCAAAGTATTGTTCTCTACGAGTCATGCTGGGAAACACTCCTCTGAAGCACGTGACTAAGCAGAAGTTTTTACTTATTTCAGGTTATGACATGTCTGAAATATTTTCCTTTTGGCTTCCTACCAGCTCATCAGTGTGGAAAATGGAAGCAGCTCAAATCTAATAATCTAGCATAGAAATTCAGGTGTCATTTTGTTTAGAAAATACTCTAGAACAGTTCTGTTCCAATACAGTAGCCATTAGTCACATGTGGCTCTTGAGCGCTTGATTTACTAAAGGTGTAACATATACTCCTGATTTTGAATACAGTATAAAAACAAACATTTAAAATATTAATTATTCATATTGATATGCTAGAATAATAGTTTGGCTATGTTGGATTAAACTATACAGTTAATTTTGCCTAATACTTTGTTTTGTTTTTTAAGTGGCTAAGAGAAAATAGTTAATTACGTATGTGGCTGCATCATATTTATATTAGACAGCACTTGTTCTAGATGATAACTTCTTCAACCATATTATTCTAACTTATACCTTATTCATGTATTCATGGAATGAATGAGCTTTACAGTTTGAGAAAGATCATTGGAATTCCAATTAGGTTTTTTAAAAAGTGGAGATGAAGACTGTCCTTTCTGGGAAAATAACCTAGGTTATGCTATGCATCTGAACTTATCTGATAACAAAAATCAATAATGTAATGTAACTGTCAGCTCTAAAATGCAAAACATAATTTATTGTTCTTTGCTGAAATTCCCTTCATTCTTTTGCTTTAAATATAATTTGACTAGGGGTAACATTATGAAGTAGTTTATCAAAATAAAGCTCTATCTGCTATTATTTAGCTAAGTAATCTTTGAGAGAGATGATCTATCCCATTTCATCAGATAATATCAATGTTTGTCGTACTTTCAAAATGTTAGCCCAATAATTTGAACCTATGTTGTATTTCTTCTGACCTGACTAAATTAGCCGCTATTTAGGCATTATTAAAACTTAATCCTTAACATACAAGTCAAGATTCAAAACTTCCAGTGATTTTTAAAGAGTGCAATTTATGGATTAAAAATAAATTACCCTTACACCCTCTAGATCTCACCAAGGAAGAGGCATGTTCCTCATTTAAATGGGTAAAACGCTCACATACACACTGGCCCTGGCATTCACAGTGCTGTTTCTAAAGTCCACGGGGCCAACCACTGAAGTCAGCCCTGGGTGTTGGAGGACAGAACTGCCCTGGGAACAAAATGGGGGTGGCTGGGAGGGACCCTATGATCTGATCTTCCAACTAATTGCCATCCTATAATAATATCCCTTTTCCCTCTCTTCTTCCCATTTGAAATATATGGAACTCTTACTGTACATACCTGTTAGATCTCACTGGGAAAAGTACACCAGGCAATTTATCATTTTTAATGGAAATCTTAATGCTTAGTAAAAAAAAAGGCATTCTTAGAGGTTAAAAATAGTGAGCCCTTTATAATAGCTGTAATGGAAATTTTGAGAGAGAATAAAGATGGAAAGAAGCAGAGAAGAAGAGGATAAGTACTCTCTACTAGTTAATAAAAATAAAATAAAACAAAAATCGTCTTTCTCTGAGCCCAGGTGAGGTGCCTCGCTTAAGAGCTATTTCCTCCAAGTCAGCGACCTGTCAGGCCCCTCAACTACGGAAGATGAGAAATCCTACCTTGTTTTCTTCTCAGGAGAATGGCAGTAAAGGAAGATTTGTGCTTGGAAAGCAGAATGTCTGCCAAGGTCCAATCACTCCAGAAACCAGAGGTTTTATTTCATTGTCCAATACAATAGCTTCGAGAAAGTGCCCAAATAATTTTTTAAGATCTCTTTTTTGGAATAGTATTTTTATGTGATAGTCATTTTTTTATTATAATTTTGTACATTGTAATTCTTTTTTGAAATTATGAAAGTATACTAAAATGTGATACATAATTTCATAAAAATGTTCATCTCATTTCAAATGAAATAAATCTGAGGTACTTGTAATTTAAATGTGATTTGTATTAGGGAAAAGCGTTTATATGAAAATCAAAGAAATATCTTTTGGAAAAAAATCATAGTAAAGTATAAAATTTAATGTTACAGCTTCTCAAGTCTGACTTAAAATCAGTGTTTTTTCGTCCTTTCTTTTGTTTTTGTCGTTTAAGGTAAATAAAACGGTGCACTCTCCTAAGTTGACATGAACACTTTCAAAGCTACATTGCAAAATGTGGGCACTTCATTCTAAGTGTGAGAAAAAGATATACTAGCTTTTCAAAAATATCTCTAGTTTATAAGCAGTATATCTAAATAACCATCAATTGAAAGGGAAAAAAGACTTTATAAACAAAAATGTTTCCTTATGCTAGTAAATCAATAATGAATGATCTTTTAATGAAATACTATTCCCACTCTATTCAGACATTTTGGCATCAGCCTGTGGGATAGATTTTCCTAAATATTTGAAACTTGGTAATTATAAAGTTTATCCATAATAATGCTCCTATCTTTAAAGTTGTACACGCTCATTAATAAATCCAATTTTACCTGGAAAATGATGAGTCAATATATGTTATTCTAAGTCCTAGTCTTATCCTGTCCTTATCTTTTTTTCTTAGCTAAAATTATTTTTTTTAAATAATTTTAATTGATTTCAGAGAGAAGGGAGAGAGAGAGAGAGAAACATCAATGATGAGAGAGAATCATTGATTGGCTGCCTCCTGCACACCCCCTATCCGGGATCCAGCCTGCAACCCAGGCATGCGCCTTTGACCGGAATCAAACCTGGGACCAATTGAACCTGGGACCCTTCAGTCCGTAGGCTGATGCTCCATCTACTGAGCCAAACTGGCTAGGGCCACAAAGATGGTTTATGCCTTAAAAGTGAAGGCATCTCTTCCCAGCCTTCGCCCCGTCCCCCAGGTCTC